ATAGCAATAAGTGAAAAAAAAGTAACACATATCCTAAAAATAATTTAATTATATAACACATACCGATCGCTAGGAATAATCATAGTTCTATATAAGCTAGAATAAAAGATGGGTTTTAAATCACTCCTAACCTCACCATCAACTCTAATCTTTGAAAGTTCGACTTCCCAAGCATTAACAGCCAATTCACGAGTTTTTTCAAAGTCAAAATTTGGAACCTCCTCTTGAGCATTTTTACATGCTTGATCTGAAGTTATAAAACTTATTCCAACTCGTGATATTATGACTAATTTTGATTTATGTAATTCTAATATTGAAATCTCTTTAATGATGAAACTCTTCATATATTGTAATAACAACTAAAATTCTTTTCATATTCACCATTATCAAAATCAAATCCAAGAACTGCTCCAATAGCAGGTGTATCAAAAGATATATTATAAGAACTTTGAAAGGTTGAGTTTTCAATTGTGAAATTCTTCCAAAATGTACCAAAAGAACAAGAATTTTTGTTCAATTGAGAACAAAAATACACTGTATATTTTGGTCCTTCATTCCATCCTCCGGAATAATGACCCACTCCTGTTATCTGGGATGGGGTGACATTGTATATTGAACCATCTCTGTATCGTGAACTATTTAATTAAAACAAAAAAAAAGTAATATAAGTAATATATTGATAAGTATATAATTATAATGTTAAGTTATCGTTATACCTTCCACCTTGCGTTAATATATGACTTAGATCTAACAGTACAAATGCTTTTTTTTGTTTATTTTTTACAAAAGTATATCTATGAACCCCGGTTCTTCTAGCAGCAGTTAATTCAACAGTGACATTATATTTTTCTAATCCGAATTTAGAGTATCCGACTTCGAAATGTTTGAATGAACGTAAAGATTTGTAGTTACGAAGAGGGATCGTATATAATGAAGTGGAGGTTAATGGAAATTGAGAAATTACTCCATATATTGGGTCACCTTTTTTAATGAACAGAATGAACAAGAATGGGTTAATGAATAGGTTATGAGAATCAAATAAAGTAAAACGGCTGAAATTAAAGTGGATGTATAAAAGTCAATAAGTTAAGTTTATAACATAAGGAAAATTATTATTAATATTAATAATAATAATATTTTTTTTACCTCCTGTCCCACTAACATGTAAATCTATTTTTTTTAGAATATTCAAATTATTAGTATAGTATTGAAATCATTGATTAATTTCATCAATTCCACACAAAGGCTTACGGCTTATTCCTGTAATATTTCCATCAACAGTATACCTATTTCAACAAGGGCGCAAGAGTCCAGAATAAAAAAAATAATACGTATAACAATTCGTTCACTAATAGTTCATTACCTTACCCTGCTTGATTATCTTTTAGATTATCAGTATCAAATCCTACTTTTACAACGCCATAAGGAAGACATGGATTTGGAAATACATGACCCTCTTTTCGCACAAATGTTTATAAAGATTAATGTTAAGAGGGTTTCAGCAATCATAACGTTTATATAATAACGCAAAAATTAAATAATGAGATATGATACCATTTTGGGTACCAATCAATGGATCCACGAACTTTGTAACTTTATCAATTTCTGCTCTTTCATTTATTTCACGATACGATGACGCAGCAGCATTAACTTTCAAGTTGCATGACTTAATTAAAATAAATACTACAAGTAAGAATAAGTATGAATTATTCTTAAAAAATGAACCGCTTTGAAAGTTCATGATCGAAATATTTAAAAGAATAAATTAGAGCTATTTGTATATTCTACTTTTTTTTGTTCTATTTATTATTTTCTTTGTTCTATTTATTAACTTCTTAGTATTTTTTTTATTCACGAATTTATCTAACACAAAACTTTCATCACGCCACTAAAGTTTCATCAGTTCAATAAAGTTATTTCTTACATCTATAAACGCCAAAGTTCTCGCACTTGATTTTAATTTAGTTCAAAAAATTAGTATTAGCCAAATCATATTGAGAATTATCAATTTTTTTTTCGTTTAAAAACTATTGCAAAGTGAGTTTACATAAAAGTGATCTTTTAAACTTTGTGAATCTATGATTGGAGCAAAATCGCCACCAAAAAAGTTTCGAACATTACGTGACAAATATATCGAACACCAAAAATTCATGTAACTTGAACAAAAAATACAAACAAAAAAAATTTATAGACTAACAAAATAATAACGATAAGCAATTTTGTTTATTTCGAATAAACTCAATAAACGTAATA